AAACATAATTGAGAACATTTCTTTCATAAAATTAAACACACACCCACAAAGTAAACTGTGAAGCCCTCCATCATATTGGAGTTGCATTTCTCAAGATTTGTTATAAAAATATTTCAATCCCATTCCCCACCCTTCAACCACCCCTCCCATTTCACACAAGGCACTAAAACTTGGCATTTGCATAGAAATTCCAGAAGCCTGAGCATTTTATTAGCAAAGGGAAATCCCAACCTCTTTGGCCTCATTTCTCATGATGACAGCTCATTTTTCCATGTGGAACCACATACAAGTTGCTGCAAATATTTAAATAGGTAAAGAAGCCACTTTCAAACTAAAGGAAAAGCATATAAAATAATGGCAGTTATTAAACATATAAATAATAACACTCTGTACTTGCTTTGTTAGCATAAAAGTCAGTCTAACCATTTCAAAAACTAGACTGAAATAACTACAGTGTTCTCACTGAAATACTCAGAGCCATGCTGGGAACTCTCCTGGCCTTGAAGGCTTACTGTTTTGCATTTTCAAGGGCAATTTTGAGACTGAGTCTACTACTGTGCTAAGCCCCCTCCCCCTATGCTTCCCAGGCCCACATATCCTCAAAGTCTGGGTGAAAATCCACCTCCATAAAGGCCCTCAAATTCTCCCATTCAGATTCATCCCTCTGAAAATCAAAAGCATTTAATACCAACCTTTACAATCTAACAAGCAGTTATATCCTCTTGAAAAACCCCTTTACTCCCTATAGTCTATTGGTATTTTGCCTTAGTTACTTCTTGCATGTGTTTATTTCCTCCTCCTGCCTAAATTTATCAGCTTTTCTGTGTGCATGTGGGGGTTGGGGGGTACTCAGGATTGAACACAGGGGCTTGCAACTGAGCTATATCCTACCCTAAGTTTGTTTGTTTATTTGAGATAAGGTTTCACTAAATCTCTAAATTGCCTAGGCTGGGCTCAAATTTGCCCAGAGAATGGTGGTAAATGTCTGTCTTGTTTTACTTTTTGCACTGTTGAGACACAATACCCATACCCACAAGTTAAAGGAGTAAAGGTTTATTTCAGCTCATAGTCTATGTAAGTTATAGTCCACAGTCCATCGGCTCCAAGACAGGGTAGCATGGCAGAGGGTCCTTGTAATGGATAAACAGTTCATGGCAGAGGAGGCAAGAGCAGCGATGCAGCAAGCAGCAGTAGCAAGCCTCCCTTTCCCTTTTATCCCATCAAAGCTATAAGGCTTTTGGGTGGTGCTACCCACACCATGGGTGGGGCTTCTGTCTTCAGTAAATACATTCAGTCACACCCAAAACTATGCTAATTCCAGTCAGTGGACTAATTTAGTATCACACATCCTTAATTCCAGTAACTCACATCCTAGATCCAGCCAGTTTCCATTTATGAGTGTTTGAGGCTTTGGGAGACACCCAGATGCAAGCCATAACAGCAGCAGCTGTACTCTCAGCAATTTAGGAGGCTTCTGAAGCAGGAGGACTGCAAGTCCAAACCCAGCCTGGACAATTTAGAAATTTCATAAGACTCTGTCTCACAAAAAAAAAAAAAAAAGCTGGGGACATAGCTCAATACGTAGGCCCTGGGTTCAATTCCTAGTACTGGTGGAGGCGGGAGGGGAATACCTTGCAGTTTTCCAGTATTGCCTCTCTAGTATCAAATCCAAGTGTGACAACTCCTTAAAATAAAGTAAATGTGAGTTGAAAAATGTCACCTACCGTAGAAGCTCCTAAATTCACATTAACCTCTAAGAATTATCTGTAGGGTCCCATGCATTTAGGGATCAAATGAACTAGGACAATGACATTAACTACACCCCACTGAATCATGTTCAGTCCCATACATAAACTTCCCCTGGACAAGTAGTCAGTCTAAGTCTAAGTCAAGCATTCCAGAAAGGATACTGAGTAAATTTCTCCCCATCTGATGGTCCTGGAGTAGCAGACTAACCTGAAGGCCATACACAGGGTGCACCTTAGGACCACTCTTCTCCCCTTTTTACTCCTGCGATTTGTTCTCAATGGCCACAAACTAATCTGGCTGCAGACCTCCCACACACAGACTGGCTGAAACCCGATCACCCCAGTGGGTCACCTGTCTTTTCTCTATGTAAGCATGAACCTGATCTGCCATCCTCTTTTGCCTACCCTCAGAAATACAAAGAATTCTTTCTTTTGCCTTCTCCTGCACACAAAGACAAGCAGGAAAACTGGAAGCCTGGTGCTGCTGTAGAATACTTGAGAAAGACCACTCGCTTTAGGTAGAGATTATCATTTGGCTCATGTAAGTGCATGTAATCATTTGTAAACTTGTCTTTCTTGCAACAAATATATACATGTGCATCTATATGTACTGAAACCTTCATGTGGAAAGACATACACTGAAAAGCAAGTTTCTCTTGCACTCTCTCCCTCAGCTCTCAGTTTCCCTCCTCAGTAGCAAGTATTACCAGATATTCTTCCCTCTGATCCTATAAACTTTTGAATACTATTTTATACTGTGGGTTTCTTAGTAGGAGAAGAGAGTAAATATATCCTGAACATCAATCCCTGGGATGTATGTCTGACATCCACGAGTGTATTTAACCTTCACCATAAACCTGTAAGGGTGATATTATTTCCTCCATTTTCAGATGGGGGGATAAAAAACAAGGTCAGAGGAACAAGAGACCTGTCAAGGTCACAAGCCTAAATCTCAGCTCTATGTCATTTTTTCAAGATTCTCCTTAGATGGCCCTGTTTCATAAAATAGTCTCCAACTTGAGCTCTTTTTTTCAGGAAACACAGTTTCTGGAATCCTTGGCAAAAAAAAAATCAAGTTCTACAATTTAAAGTCCTAAGAGCCCTGGCAGATTACTGCACTTCGCTATGACTCAGTTTCTTCATTTGCAAAATAAGCTTAATAATAAAACCTACCATATAAGGTCTGTAGTAAAAATATATCAGTGTCTCAAAAAAGGCTGGCATTGTATCTGACATATGGTAACTACTTCAAAATGATTTGCAGTTATTATCATTATTAGCATAAGGGTGGTTAACAAACTAGAATCTAAAATGGTTTTCTTTTTTGTTATTATTCCCTCCTTTTAGCAATACAACGATGTAGCTTGTGGAAGCAATTTGGGATGAATATGGGAATCGATGTGAATTTGTCTGGCTCTATCAGACCAATTCCTTTGCTCTCCTCCCTCAGGGCTCCTCCAACATTTCCTCTGTCTACCATGTCTGCTGCCAAATCCCAGAAGTTTTTACTAGTATTATTGCTGATTTTTTTCAATCACGGAATTCTTTCAGTTTTTATTTAAAAACTAAAATCTAGCAACACCCTTCTGGATGTCACCACCCTTAAATTTTCAAACCAAAACTTTCTGTGCTATCATTACCCACTGCCCTCCTACATATATCATGCAACTGTCTACCAAAGACATTTTGCTAAAACAATCTCAACTTGAATAAGTGGAAATTACTCAAATTCCCCTGAAATGGAAGAAGACATTTGTTAAACTACATAATTTACAAACCTGTATCTGATGAACCAAGCAATTTTGTCCATTTAAATTGCCTTTTCTTCCTTAACTGAAAGCCAAAGGAGATATAGAGGCTTGGGATTATACAGGCAGCAGATGAGCAGGATGAAGGCTTCCTGGGAGAGTGGCAGCCAAGAAGTTAAATGTCTGGGGTCTCTGTTTGGCCAGTGGCTAAGTACGTGGTTATCAAGTCAGTTCTGAGTTTTAATTCATTATTAGTTAACAGAGGCTCAGTTAATTTATCTTAACCAAGTTTTAGTTAATTATCTGAGCTTTAGTCAATTTATCTTAAGAATGCAAAGTGGAGTGGCCAGGGATTTAGCTCAGTGGTGTTGCTGTCTATCTCACAAGCGCAAGGGCCTGAGTCTGATCCCTGTTACCAAAAAAAAAAAAAGCAAAGGTGGTGTCAATTTTTTCCTGTGAATCTTTCCCAGGTCTTCTTTTAAGTGAGACAGTACTGTATTTTGCATCACACTAAAAGCATCTTGTCTGGCCTGGTCCTTATCAGAGCAGTAATTTACTTGTCACATCACAGCCTCAAGAGATATTTTTCAGCCAAAAGTAAGTGTGCATGTGACATGCTGGCCATAAAAGATGCAGCCTCTATTTATTACAAAAATGCAGTTATGCCAAGCTGTCAAACAGAATTCATAGTAAAGCAATAAAATCTAGGTTCATATTTAATTACCTAATTTTAAATAATGGCCAGGCAAACCCATTTTCAGGGTGACATATCTTGGCTTCCATCTAATACCCCTCCATGAATTACTCCCATTCAGCAATCCTGCTTGAAGCATCTGGAATGCAGCAAGTACAACACTGAGATTCCAGCAGGGTTTAAGAGGCAACCTTTTGTTAAGACATCATGATGTGTAACCTCTCTGCTATGTTATTTTTTTCCATTTCCTCTGATGGGAGATTTTGATTTGTAATTCTGACATCATACCTGGTTCATCCAATCCAAAGTCGTCTCGGACGGACAACAAATGAGTCAGTACCCTGGGAATTCAGGGGGAGTGAAGGTACAGGCAGTGGGGAATATTATTGTTTTACTATGAGGGCCTTAAGAGAAAGTTAAACAAGTTTCTTAAGGCCAATGATGAACCATGGTAATATGTAATTCCATAACCACCTTTATGTTTTCTTTTAAAAATGACACTCAGAATCTGGGCAACTTTAGAAATGCTGAGGTTAATACTGATTCATCTTTAAGATATTTAATTTGACCCCTCCTTTATATCCAAAGCATGGGACCCAAGAACTTTTTAAAAAGTAATATTTGAAAGCAACAGACACAAACCTAAGAAGAAACCTAAAGAATACCATTAACAGCAGCCTGACCTAGGAACAGTGTGCTTTTGCTGTCTGTAGTTTACTAGCCCAGAGCTTATCAGAGAGGAGTGGAGGCTGTTTCTGCAACCCCAGGGAGCAGAGTGGAGCAGCCAGACCATGAGTCACAGCAACTTACATCACTCTTCCTGAACTTCGCTTTCAGGCTCTTCATGTTTAGTCCATTCAGCTTTCCAAAGTCCTAGGAGACTTTTCAACACCTAAGCAAAGAAAGAAAAAGACTGAATGAAAATCCAAGTAAGCGCTACACATATTTCCTCTTCACTGGATGGTAACATCAGGCTGAGGTAGGATAGAAGAAATCAAAGACAGGTAGAAAGGAGACAACAAAATAGTAACTAAAAATTATACTTTTAAGATGGCTGCAACTTACAGGACCCAGCCAAAGTTGCCCAAGGCAATGAATACCAGCTTGACCTTGATTAAAATTTAGACTACTTCCCTACCAAACCCATCACACACGAAATAATCAAGAACGCTGAAAATCCATATATCGGCTTAATCAATAGTAAAGAGCAGGAACCTCATCCTAAGATAAAGGAGCAGGTTGAGACAATCCAAAGAATGTTCAAATTTCCTATTTTTTTTAAGAAAATGGGCCCACACCTGTAGAATGGGCTATAACTCTTCTGGGGTGGGGAAACCACCTTTTCTGGGGGTTACTGTCCCTTTAAGAAAAGCATAAATGTCCCCTGTTCCAGGAAATAATACATCTCCTTCCCTTGAGCGCCCACACTCCACCCAAGCGTACCTGAAAATCTGTGCTTAAGAAGCCCTTCCAGCTCCTTTTACTAAGGCATCCTGAAAACTCTTTTTCCTTAAGGAGAGTCAGTGAACCTGCAAACTTATTCTATAAAAAGGTGGGTTAGGTTCCTTACTTATACCCTGGAGACCTCCTCAGGCCCAGCCCCATGACAGCCACGGGCAGGAGACAGGGCTGGCCTAGTGGGAGGTCCTTAGGTCCTATGGGTGTGCCCTCAGCAGGGAATGCTGGTCTCTTGGACTGAGTTCCTACCAGCTTTGCACACAATCTCTCCATGGTGGCGCCATCCACCAGAGCTGAGCTGATGTAGTGCCGTGCCCGTGACCCTCCAGAACTGTGAGCTAATGAATCTCCTTTTTCATAAAGTGACCTAGACACAGGTATCCCATTATAGTAACAAGTGGAGTAAGGCATATATGCTGATTTAATGCCTCTACACATCCTTCATTTTGCAAAGATGCCATCTACCTTCTTTTGAAGCACTGCAATAGCGAAAAAGGACAAGAAAAACAGTTAATATTCCAGATTCTACTCACTCCTTATTTTTTTCCCAATGTTTGTCCCCACCTTCCCTCACCCCAAATGCACAGCACAGGCCAAGTGGAAAATGCCAGAAATAATAAAACCTCCCTTATCAAATAACTCATTCCTCAAGGGGCCACTCTAAACAATTCAAAACTCTTGCTCCCTGTGGGACCAGTAATTCTGAGTTGGAGCTAGAAGAGTCTTAAACAAGTGCTGCATTTAGGAGAAAGAAGTCTGTGGTCCCTGTAAACTGATTTTTTTTTGTTTTTGGTAAGTATGCATGTAATTTTTTCAGGGAGGAATTTCCTAGTTTTCACTGAATTCTGCAAGGTACACTGCCAGCCTTAAAAAGTCACAACTACCAAGCTAGTCTAAAACCCTCATTTTTCAGAAGTAGAAAGCCTCAGAGAAGTTAAGAAACTTGCCTGTAGTCACCTAGCCTTTGTACGATGACATTCAGAAGCAAATCCCAAAGTCTAACTGATAACTGCATGCTTTTTCCACTGACCTTTACAGCTTTATAACTAAAGCCCAATGGCTCAATTCTGTGCTAAAATACGGTATAGAATGTATCTTTTTCATTGAGTCTGGAAATGTATAAAGTGTGGAACCTTAGCATGTACATTTTTTTTTAAAAAAAGTACATTTAGGGCCAAAAGACTCTAATCCATGTGAAGGTTCCTATCACATAGTAAGTGTTCAGAAAATGTTAACTTTAAGCCACACCTTACAGTAAGTGAAATAAGATGAATTTCATACTGATGAAGAATTAAGAAATGACAACGAATATTTAACATAACTAATAGTTTTAAAAAGAGTTTCCAGGTCAGCTCATGTCATCATTATTCTGGACAAAACTGATTTGGGAAGACAGAGTGGGGAAATGTAAGCAGCTGAGCAACTGTCCTCATCCTTCCTCATGTCCTTGTGCTGCCTTCAGAAGTCACCCTGCAACTGCGGCTTCTCATGTGTTTACCTTTCATTATTGCTGCTGCCATTAAACAGAGCCCTTCCCTGAATGACATGAAAATGTAGTCATCATAAACCCCTTTGATAGCATTAGTCTAGAGGCCACTATTCCTGAGGCCTCTCCACAGTTCCTTTCAACCTTCCCAGCCTTAGCAGGAGTGACTGCATGTTGCCTTGGAAACTGTACACACTATAATCACGTATTGTTGATTGCCCACATTTAATCACAGAGAACTTCAGACTGGGGCAAATGCATACTTCAGGGAAGTGCTTCTCAGAGCTGGCCTCTAGTTCATTTGCTTCACAAGCACCGGGAAACAATAACTAGCTGTAAAATGCTAGTCCCTATCCTAGAAACCCAAAGTTAGAGAACCTTCTGTAGACAAACAGAACAAGGAACACACTTGTTAGAGTGAGCAAGGTTTACTAACTAAAGTTGGGCTGTTTTTTTCACATCAAAACAAATCACCTTTTGATGGATCAAAATAGAAATAATGATAGATATTCCCAAATTGTCATTGGTCCTTGGCTTCTACATCAACTATTTCTAGAAAATGGAAATCACCTTTCAGATTTATTTCCTCCCTGCCTCTGTAAATAACCAAGAAAAAAGAACAAATCAGTGAAGTAGGACAGGGAGAAAAGAGAGATCACATTGGGATAATCCACAAACTGTGTGGCCCATGAAGGCAGAACCACCCAAAGCATTCTTTCATTCACAGAACAGAAGGTCTTAGGCAAAAGCAGTAAGAGTTCTGTTTAAGGTCCCAGAGGTTTCATGAGTGTTGTGTTAGGTTTTGTTGTTTGCCTTTCTTTTCCTTTCTTTTTTAAAACTTGGCAGTGAGAAGTATGCAAAGTCTTATTTGAAGAGGATTAAATAAAAGTAATGAATTCCAAATGTTTTGAAGGGAAGGTATGAACTACTAAATGACAGTCTTCTTGGAGTTTTAGGTGGTCCATGGATTTAACTCTACATGACAGACGTGGGTATCAAGGGAAAAGAAGTATTGGAAACTCACAGAAGCAAGAATTGCAGCTAAGACTGTTAGTGTTATTAGCAGATCGCTGCTTTCCTAGTATTCATCAAAGGATCTTGCAGCTAGAAGCCATCGCTAGGGGGAAGTAACCCAGCCCCTGGAATGAGGACAGGTGTCTTCTGTCCCACCATCTCCTCTTCCTGAAAATGATTCATGTAAAAATTAAGAGCTTGCCTTCCTTGAGTCAGCTGGGAATTTATAGCCCCCGTTCTCAATCCCAAATTTCCAATGTTTAGGCTGGGCTATAGCCTATCTTGAGTAAAGTAACACCTATCTGTATAGAAGGGCTACATCAACGGTTGTCCTTGAATAAGCCACTTAATCCCTTAATCAGAATATCTATTTCAAAAGAATTGTGAAACTGACTTATCTGCACAGCAGATTCTCTTGGAAATGCATGAAACAAGGATCATACAACTACGGAAAGTTACCTGAACTAAATGCTCCCATTTCAAGCAGAATAAAGTATACCTACCCATTGAGCAGAAATGGTAGGCAGTTTTCTTCCTGTTCCATTCAAAATGTTACTGAAATGTATCATCCATTGTTGGCTGCCAATCATCACATGACAGACATTATGTTAACCAAGGAGGATGAATCAATGCAGAGTGTAGCCATCTTGTCCTCTCATGTGAAAGACTGAATGCAACACACAGGGTTAAATGACTTAATTTTTCCTTCAAAAAATAATGCAACTCTCATGTAGGACCTAAAATGATACCCTTATCTAACATAATTATAGCTTGAATAAAAAAACCTTTATGCTAGCCTAAAAAGCTTTATCGTGAGCAAAAACCTTTCGACTTGAATATTAAAAAAAAAATCTGTAAGTTGTCAGGGGATTTCTTTTCAGGATGATGAAATGTTTTAAAAATGTACTGTCTTAATGATTGCACAACTTGTAAAGTTACTAAAACAATTCAATTGTATACATTCAGTGTGTGAACTTAATGTATGTAAATGATATCTTAAAGTTGTTACTAGAAAACAAGTTTAATAACCCCCATTACCTTTTCCAATCCTCAGAATTATAAAAATTCTAGATTGCAAGCTTTTAGAATTATTAAAGAAAGAACTTCAGAAGAACAAAAGTTAACAACCAATGCCTTAAAATGTGAAGAGTTTGTTATACTGTGTTATACTGATGAGGTTTTCTTTATTTAGCTATTTCTCTACCATACCCCACCACTGATTGGAAGTGGTTTCAAATTCCTCCTCCTCCCACCCATTCTCACCCCTCCCCTATATATGACCCAAGAACCATTTTTTTGGAACCACATCCAGACATCTGTAACCAGAGGTGAAATTCCTCAGATGACTTAGATGTACGCCTAGCTGGGGAACCACTATTTTAGAGTCAGTGATACCACACTTATAATCTATACTCTGGCAAAGATAACCTAGAGACATTGAACAAGTAGACAAGATGAATACTTCTGAGCATCCACTCTGTTTCAATCTTTCACACAACTGGAGGGGGAAGGGCAGTGGTGGCAGGGGAGCCCTCTCCAACCTAATTCTACATGAGCAATTAGCTAGTTGTCTATGGCCAATGAAGAACAATAGCAGTTCACAAACGCAGACAGCCGTACAGACATACACATTTGTCCTGAATCACAGGAACATATTAGCGTCTGAGAAACCATACCACAGGATTCAAAGTCCATGGTTTAAAATAATTTCTTTTGAATTACTGCAGACTTAGAGAGGCAAAGTCCTCTTACTAATCCTTGTATCATGGAATATAAGACTACTACAGAATCCTTAGCAATAGCAGAATACTAACACCTACCCGGACAGGCTGCAGCAATTTGTTTTTCCAAGTTAAAAAGAGCATCAGACTTAAATCTTTACCACTGACAAAAGTGTTGAGAAACAAATGCTTCTCTCCTTCTATCTATGTCTT